CGGTAAATTTATTTTAGCGATTCGGTAATAATTATAAAATTGACAACCTGATTCGATATATATACACTAAATAACACAATAAGGCTTAAATTCATGGATTAAGTTCAAACCATCCATAAAGTATAGTATAAATAGTTCAAAAGCCATATCAATATTTGAAATAAGGCATAAAAGAGAACCAGAGACTTACCATACTATTTTTATGACTATTTTATTCGACGCTTTCGAAGGGACATAAATGTATTGATTATATCATCTTCATCAACTTCAAAGAAAATATCCCGCTCAATGAAAGTGACTAGACAGTCATCCAAAAGACTATCTCCCATCTTATTTCTTAACTTTGTTTTCACAAAAACCATTGCAGAAAATACCCTTTCAACACTTGCCGTTGCCACAGGTAGAAGCAATACCAATTTGAGGACCTCGTAAACCATATCGTACACTTTGTGCCTCTTTGTTTCAATGAGCTTAATTGAGAGATCAACAATATTGTCTAGACCTTTGAAGCTATCATCATGTCTCATGTCATCAATATAATTATCTAGCTGCAATTCAAGTTTGAGCAAATTATTATTTGAGAACTCCTTTGGGTAGAACTCAGCTAGTCTACGTAGCTTCTGTGCATTAAAAGAAGCAAATGCCTTGGAAGGACTGAAGGCCGACATACAATACAACAACTCCATATTAATCTCATCAAACCGATTATCAAGTTCTTGACTTATTTGATCAAAGACACCAATATATACTTCTCTTCTAAAGTGGTCATCATTGGTTTGCTTTTGGGCACGAGTAATCACCATCCATAGCAGGAACTTCAACACCATGTTTATCGCAAAATGAAGTGACCTTCTCAAGAAAATTATCTCAACCATCATACCTCAATTTTTGCATTCTTTTCTTTGCCACATTAACAAGTGATATTACATTAAGAATATCTTGGTCCTTCTTTGCAAACACTCAGATAACTCATTTGTATATCCAAGAATAATATACATTAAGTGTGCAAAGAAAACAAACTCAAAGTTCTCAAAAGCTTCGGTCACAAAATGTATTTTGGTCCAATCATCCTTATATGCAGGATCATCCCCAAGATCAACCAGTACATCATGGATTGCTTCATACATAGTAATAATGCTGCATACAGTTTTGTAATGAGATCCCCATCGAGTATCTCCAGGCCAAGGTAAACCCATCTTTTGATGTAATTCAGTTCCAGATTCAATTTCACCACAGTCAAGTGCTTTCTTGACATTCTCAAGCCTAGCATTTCTAAGCATGTCATGACGCTTATAGGAAACTCCAGCAATATTCAACAAGATAGATATTTGATCAAAAAAAGTCTTGCAATCAGTATTTTCCTTGGCAACAGCAACAAGAACCAATTGGAGTTGATGAGCAAAACAATGAATATAATAAGCAGAAGGTGATTCTTGCATGATCAATGTTTTCAACCCTTTAATATCTCCTTTCATGTTGCTAGCCCCATCATATCCTTGACCACGGATTTGAGTCATAGTCAAGCCATGACTAACAAATAAAGCTTCAATTGCATCCTTAAGTGATAAACAGGCAGTATCATCTACATGAACAACTCCAATAAAATGCTCACATGGCCTTCCCAATTTATCAACATAACGTAAGCAAAGAGCTAGTTGTTCTTTATGTGATATATCATTAGACTCATCAGCTAAAATTGCATAGGGCTCATCACCAAGTTCTTCAATTATTTTCTTTCTAGTTTCTAGGACACAATAATGAATAATTTGCTTTTGTATGTCTGGGCTAGTTAAGGTACAGTTACCTGGAGCATTGTCCAAAACATACTTCTTCACTATTTCCGGTAAGAAATTTCAAAAGTTCAATGAAGTTCCATCTGTTGCTAGATTCTTTACTTTCATCATGTCTAAACGCATGCCATCCTTGATGCAAAAGAAACTTGATACACCTAAGTGAATAAGTCAACCTTTTCTTATAAAGATGAAGATCCTCATCACTCCACTTGTCAATATTATAATCAATTGCTACCTTGAGATTTGTAAAGCCAATGTATCTCTCTTGAGCTGCAATATGTGCCTTAGAACCCATATGTTTGTGAAGTGCTTTCTCTCCTATATTCTAATTCTTCCAGCCATCAACAAAGAAATGTGTCCACCCAAAGACCCTTCTTGAACAAATAGCATATGAAGCAAAACACAACATCCTTCTTAATACTATACTCAAGCCAATCATTATTATACATCCAACAATAGTTGAATCCCCGATCCTTGTCTGAAATCTTTCTTTTTGGAAAATCATGTGCAAAAGGTTTGAATGGACCTTTAATAATATATGTTCTTCGAATTGCATCTTGATCATTAACAGGATATTTTAGAATATGATGTCTTTCACCTGGATCATGTGGAAGGCGATTGGTGTCTGAAGACGGTTGTGGCGGTGGCATAGGATTTACAATTTCCTCAACTACTCTCTCATGAATCTGCTCTTCCACCACAGGTTCAATCGGATCAGGATTAGAAGTAGCAGCAGCTGCCGCAGCCTTCTTCTTTGTTGCATGCTTCTGAAAAAGAGATGCAATGTCCACGTTTCTCTTCATAACTGCATAAATATTACAAAGAACACAATGCCAAATAATTAAATAAATTGCGCTTGCACCATTGAACTCTCAGATGCGATTATGGATCACTCACATGATATGAGTACTTAACAAAAGATCAATTAAGATCCACTCTGATGTTGAGAAAAATCCTCCACCTCGCCGCGTGATAGATGATTCTATAATTTTAGCGCTAAGCAATTAACAATTAAAGTACACATGAATTTTTTTAAAAAGCCGAAGAACAAAGATTGAATCTCACCAGAATAATTGTGATCACAAATTCGCCTAGACGCCGCCTTATCACGGTGTAGACTATTAGATCGAGTAGGAGAGCGAAGGAGAAGCAGCAGCAGGATCGTCCGTCCTACGTACGACGACCGAGGATGGAGATGAGCCGCGCAGGACAACAGGGAATGTACGCACGTAGAGATGGATCTCAGTGTTCTGAATGTTTATCATCCGCCGCCTCCTGCTCCAGGACTGCAGGACACGCGGCGCAGCCCCGCGGCGAGGAACAAGCAGGTGGGCGAGGGGAACAAGCAACCGATCGATCCAGCACTGCGCGCGCCGCCGCCAAGGACCGAAGGATTTGTTCATGCGGCATGCAATGCCCAACCTAGTGGACCTGGACGACGTCGCCTTCTTTCTTTGTGACGGACGTGCGCCTTCATGCGTGGGCCGCGTGGGGTGCCTGTGCCTCAAGTGGGCCATTCGTGGAATCGTGGTGGCGTGATGCATTCAGGTAAGTTTTTTTTCTTTTTTCTTTTACATAAATACAAATACAAATATCGTATACAATATATAATAGTATATTTATCCGTTGCCGCAGGGTATGCCGGTGCATACCTGGCATACCCTGTGCCTCCGCCACTGATACAAGGAAGCGCCTCATTTGAATTTTGAAACACATACCCGCGCTCCCGCTACACCATTCTGGAATGTAAATTTTAAAAGGAAGTATTAGAAGTTGTTGGAGAGATATTTTTTTCTCATCTTTCTAAAACCAAAGATTATGAGGAGATTTAGGAAACTCTCGGACATGCTCTAAGAGCAGGTTTAATAAGCTTGGCTATAAGCCAAGTTAAGTCATCAAGAGACTAGCATATGAGACAAGCCATACAACAATTTAGGCTCTCCTATTCCAAATATAGTTACCCTGTTCGCTTATGCTGAAATGTGATTTATATCGATGCTTATGTTGAAATATTTTAAAAAAAAACACTATTTCATGATTGAAAAGTAAGTCAAACGGTTAGCTTTAAATTTATACAGGGTCCGCAAGCTACTTTTCTCTATCCTGGTTTCCTCTCACAGCTTCCTGTAGTGGCGGGACCCACAGCTGGGGAATAGTGCAAGCGATCGGCGTGGCCTGCAACGACAAGCTCTCCTAAAATTTCTATTACATCGAATGTTTAGACACATGTATGAAGCATTAAATATAGACTAATTACGAAACTAATTACACAACTTGCGACTAATTTACGAGACGAATCTTTTAAGCCTAATTAGTCCATGATTTGACAACGTGATGCTACAGTAAACATGTGCTAATGACAGATTAATTAGGCTTAAAAAATCGTCTCGCAAATTAGCCTCTAGCTATGTAATTGGTTTTGTAATTAATCTATATTTAATGTTCTTTATTAATATCTAAACATTCAACGTGATATAAATTTTAGAACTAAACAACCAAACACCTCCTTATTCACTTTCGTTTGTTCTCTCTCTGATTGTGACTACTCAAATCTGTTGGCATAGTGACCCAGTCATCCTTGATTGATGGTAGAAAGGTACAGTACAGGACAGTTGTAGCGACAACTAGTCCTGCTCACACATTGGAGAGTCGTCGTCCAAAGTCTGAAGAGCCGACATATTGGACTGTAGATCAAAGGGCTTTTATTCTGTTTATTTTCCTTTCTTTCCTGTCCTGCATGTAGACTTCCGTGCGCGTGGAGAAGACTCATGTCTGCATTTTTCTAGTTGAGTTTGATGCTCTTTAAAGCGTGAGAGACAGATGGGGTTTCACATATCACCAGAGTACCAGACAACCACTGTATTATTGTTCTCATCGATTCTCATGTCAATCTTTCTTTCAGGACTCCCCAAAGGAGAGAAATAAAGTTTAGTTTTTGACAAGGTACATCCTTTATCCTTCTGTCTATGCTGTTTAACGGCTTCTCTCATTTTTTTTTCTCTCTGCATCCCCTATGCTTTTGCTCCTACTAAGTGACGTCTCTTCTGCCGTTCAACTTTGTATACAGTGAAGATTTTGCAAGCAAGGTGGATTCTGTGGGCTGTGATTCTCTCCAGATAAATCAGATGTGCTATCTAGGATCTGTTCAGCGGAGCTGACTGCATGCAAAGGTCATTGATGATTATCTTAAGCACAAAAACAATAACCATGCAATGTTTCAACAAGTCCATGGCCCTTCTTTTCTTCCTTGGCTTTTGTTCTCCCCGCTCCATCATTGCCCAGCCATCCTCTGTACCTGTAGTTCCTCCCCCAAAGTTTAACCCAAATTTTTGGATCATTTCCACTATGCAAAGAGTTGAAAGTAGTAGTAACACATCTATAGGTCAAGGGGACACTACTTTTCTTCCCGTTCTTCACAATAGTGGGTTCTCGTATGGAACTTATTTTGGCTTCTATACCATGGATAGCCATTCATTCATTCTCGTCATAGCGCTCTCGGGGCCTCAAGGTCCCATCGTCTGGTCTGCCAACCCGGACAATCCTGTAAGCCCGAGCGCCATCTTGACCTTCACCGCGGAAGGGGATTTGCTGCTCCAAGATAGTGGCACATTTATATGGTCCACAGCCACCAAGAACAAGTCAGTTGCAGGAATGAGGCTCGATCTTTCAGGAAACCTTGTGCTTTTTGATCAGAATAGTTCCTTAGTCTGGCAGTCTTTCGACCACCCAACGGATACTTTGGTCATGGGGCAGTCACTTTGCAGTGGAACGAAGCTTCGCGCCAAGCTCTCAAGCCAAAAATGGTCGTCTTCCAGGTTCTATCTATCGGCAGAGTTGAATGGGCTGCGGCACTATTTCGAACCAGCAGCTTACACACAGCTGTTCCAGTCAACAGCAACATCGACTCCTACTAAATCATCAGCTTGTTACGCGTTTGCCAATGGCAGCTTTGGGTTCCCAGATAAGATCTTCTCACTACCGTCAGCAAGTTCTTTGCAATTCATGAGGTTAGAGTCTGACGGGCACTTGAGGCTTTATGAGATGCAGGAACAAAACTCACCGCGGATGTTGTTAGATGTATTAAGCACAGTGGTTGCCTTCTGTGATTACCCGCTGGCCTGCGGTGATTATGGCGTTTGCAACAGTGGGCAATGTTCGTGTCCTAGTTTCAGCACTTTCAGGTTCCAAAATGAACGGCTTCCAGGTTCTGGATGCATACCCTTATCAGGCATCTCCTGCGAACACGCTCATGACCACAAGCTCATACCACTGAACAACATTTCTTACTTCAGTCACAGTTCCTTTTCAAAACTGGCTGCTTCAGGCTATTCAGAATATGATTGCAAGCAGTCTTGTCTAATGAACTGCTCTTGCCAGGTAGTGATTTTTCAGAATGATTCGGGTACAGATGTTGGTCACTGCCTGTTGTTATCAGAGCAGATGTTAATTTTGTTTGCAGATGATTCATCAAATCAGTTTTCAGCATTTGTAAAGATACAAGATAGCCCCCCCAGAGAAAAGGCCTAGGATGGTGATTATTGTTGCCAGCTGCACAGCCGCAGGTTTTTCTCTAATGACAATATTTGTTTGTGCTGTCATATGGAAAAGGCGCAAGAAAGATGAGGGACTTCTCTTTGATGTCATACTTGGGACACCAAAGCGTTTCTCCTTCGATGAGTTGAAGGTTGCTACTAGCAACTTTTCCATGAAGTTGGGACATGGCGGTTTTGGGTCGGTCTTCAAAGGCAGGATAGGCAAGGAAACCATTGCTGTCAAGCGCTTGGAGGGTGTCGAGCAAGGAACAGAAGAGTTCTTGGCAGAGGTCAAGACGATTGGTAGAATGCATCACCGTAACCTTGTTAGGTTAGTAGGATTTTGTGCTGAGAAATCACATAAACTCCTTGTCTACGACTACTTGTCAAACGGCTCACTGGATAAATGGATTTTTCACACAAGCCCAGTTTTCACTCTTTCTTGGAGAACTAGGCGTAACATCATCATTGCTGTTGCTAGGGGGTTGGCTTTCCTCCATGAAGAATGCAAGGAAAAGATTGCACATTTAGACATCAAGCCACAAAACATTCTCCTGGATGATGAATTCAATGCAAAGCTCTCAGATTTCGGACTTTCGAAGATGATAAACAGGGACCAGAGCAAAGTAATGACTCGAATGCGAGGAACGCGTGGTTATCTAGCACCCGAATGGCTGGGCTCAAAAATCACTGAGAAGGCTGACATCTACAGCTTTGGGATTGTGATGATCGAAATCATTTGCGGTCGAGAGAATTTGGATGAATCGCAGCCCGAGGGGAGCGTCCACTTGATAAGTCTGCTTCAAGAGAAGGCTAGGTCGGGTCAGCTATCTGATTTGGTGGACAGTACCAGCAATGATATGAAATTCCACATGGAGGAGGTCATGCAAACAATGAAGCTTGCAATGTGGTGCTTGCAGGTTGATAGCAGCGCAAGGCCCTTGATGTCCACAGTCGCCAAGGTTTTGGAAGGTGTGAAGAGCTTAGATGCCACACCTGACTGCACTTTTGTTCCAAATTTTGCATCAAGCAACATCGGCGTAGCGGAATCAAGGTCTTCCTATGTGCCCTGTGAGTCACATTTATCAGGGCCTAGGTGATAAAGTGGATGTTCTTGTTAGGACATATACAACCCAAAATTCTTTCCATTTTATACATAGATAACTGAACAAACAACTTGTATAATGAGTTGTCTATTTAACTCTGTAAACTTTTTAATGCTTGCATATAGCTATGAACAAGCATAAATATAGATTCATGTATACCATTGTGTTGCTTCTTGATACAAAACAAAACAAGCATAAATAAGATGAACATAATTACAATATTTTTTAGAATCATCAATATAAATAATATTTTAATACATTTATATATAATATAATAGTTTTTTCATAACTCAAATAAAATATAATACGATTACATCATTTTGGTCCAATTTCCATTGTGATCATAGTGCTACCATGTGTGCTCGACTAGATCCTTCTTGAATTGTCTATGTGTTGGCCGGTCACAGGTAGCGGAATTTCTCTCAATCACCTCTGTGAAGCATGGATTAGGATTATTGCTGGTATGCACTTCAAGTGGCAGCACTATCGTCGCACTGGATTTAGATGTCTAGGACAACCATCTCAATTGCTCATGGAATCATTGTAGCCTGCAAGACAAGAATAGAACAATTCAGTTAGAAAACCGCGGAACTCTCAAACCAACCAATAATTTCAATTATTTCACCAGCAATTGATATCACATGGATCACATATACTACCTGTGTTATACACAACCAATAATTAAATTATTTTACCAACAACTGAAATCACATATACTACCTGTGGTATACATTTATTCTTCTGCCAGATGTGAAGATACTTGATAATTCTCTAAACTTTGTAGGGGGGTATAATTGTATGAGGCCGTTTTTTCCTCTCTTAATACAATGATACGCAGATCTCCTATGTATTCGAGAAAAAAAAGAAAAAAATTATCTAAACTTTGCAAGTGTGAACTCTTGTTTCTGAACTGCAAGCTGAGAACAAAATCAAGTTGAATGCTAAGGCTATGAGAAATATATTTGATGACATTGTCAACAAAATTTCTAGAGCTCTGCCTGCTATTGGTGCTACTCATTGCTAGTGTCGATAAATTTGTGTAAAAGAAAAATCAATAAGCCTTTAAACAATTATCAAGCTCATTTCTGTTTGATGTCTACCATGCAAGGAATTGAAGGTGCTATAGCGCTGATTGCTAAGCAAGCAGATGCAAAAACATAGACACAAAAACATAGAACTTGAAGACTATGATTGTGTTCTTTGCTCCTTGGATGTTGAAGAGACCCTTTTTCACTTGATGATGGGATGTCCCTTCTAAACCTGTTTGTGCCCCCCACCAATTGATAAGGAACGTTTTTGAGGGTGGCCCGATCTTCACGACAGTAGGCCACGAATCAAAGATAACTTGCTGCGAACAGTGGAATAACTAGCTTTATACCTGACAATGGTTGGATGCGACCAAGGACGGGGAGAGAGGCATCGAAACCGCGAAGACTTCGACTCGATCTCCGAATGACCATAGAACCACAATTCGGAACTAATCCACATAAAACGGTGCAGCCGTATTGGAAACCGTAGCGCACGAACTAGGGGAACCCAGAGGGATCACTTCAAAAGTCCTAGAAGAACAAAGGTTTGAGTAAGGCACTCGGCAACTCGGCTGCAATATCATGTAGTTTATCAAATCATCAAAATATTTCTAATAGCTTAGAGGCAGGAGATATTTATACTAGGAACAACCCTCCTAGTTGGGTGTGAAAACAAAAAGGAGTTTATGAAGATAGGCAATGTGAAAGGTCACCACGAGATGGAGTTTTTGAAGATAGGCACATGGGGCTGTTGTACTTGCAGCAGGCCATTGTTGGTTTGCAGGTGATGACGTTGTAGAAGCTGCCATCTTCGAAGGAGCAATAGATGGAGAGGGCCTAGCTACAGCACCTTGGGACTGACCCCCACCAAAAGAAGTACCGGACTGCTGCTTGCGCCATGGGGCTGCAATGGAATGGCTTGCATAAGATCTTCCACGTGTCTCTTGCTGAATTTTTCTCAAAGTGCGCATGGATTGATCAACAAGATCTTGCAAAGTATGATATGGAAACATCTCAACAAAACCAGAAATTTCCTCATTGAGACCACCCAAAAATCTTGCCATTGTTTACTCCGGATCCTCTCTAATTCTAGCCCGCACTAACAGCAACTCCATCTCCTTATAATACTCATCAACCGATCTTTTTCCTTACTTCAACATTTGCAATCTATTGCAAAGGTCACGCTGATAGCTTGAGGGTACAAATCGCCTTCTCATTACTTGCTTCATCTCTTCCCATGTGTTGATATGTTCACGACCCAACATAAGTTGATTCTCCTGTATTTGATTCCACCAAGTGAGAGCATAACCAGAGAACTCCACTGAAGCAAGATTGACACGCCTCTGATCAGAAAGATTATGCACTCTAAAAATTTGATCACACTGCTCAGCTCACTCAAGATATGCATCTGCATCTTCTCTTCCAGTAAATTTTGGGATACTTAACTTGACACGAGTAATGTTGTCCGGGTCATCCCTATTATGACGACCACGATGATGCTCCCTATCTCCATGATCAGCACGCTGGCGATGATCTCGGCGCCGCCCAAACAGCCCATCATTTGCAAAGGGATTCTCATTATCACCAAATCCCTCCTCATGATCAAAGTCATCAGATTCTTCATCTTCAAGACGCACACGATGGTCACGACCACGCCCGTGAGCACGTCCTCCATCCCGGCGACGATGACTAGCCCGCCTACCACCACCACAATCATCTCTGAAGCGGTCATGTCTCGCATCAGAATTTTCACCACCAGATTCATCATATTGATGGCGAGGAGCCCTTCGTCTGTCTGCAGGCATGCGTGCATTGAGCATCCTCTCCATGGCCTCCAAGAACGAGTTTGCCATTTGGTGCAACTCAACCCGTGCAACAGGGGGTTTTTCTTCTCCATGACGACCACCATGAATATTCGAATTGGATCATGACATGTTAGCACTTATGCAAGAAAAGTGGAATAGGCAAATTTGTGGAATCACACAACCTCACCTCTTACTTACCAATATTCATGCTTGTTCTTAAGGACAGTGAATGTGCTAGTGTAGCAGTTCAACAGAAGTGATTGAGAGGTTGCAAGGATTACGAATCGAACGTCCCGGTTTCAGATTTTGGTGGAGCTATAGGTTGCTAATCAAGGGGGGCTACGTACTGCAATCCAAGTGGTTTGATGTGTTCAAAAGATATGAAGTTGCTGCTATGGAGATTACCACCAACTTGAATATGTAAATTGAAATTTGTAATTATACAACCCGCAACACAGCCCCTACATTCAATTCTTTTCACTTCTCTTTTTTTAATCTTTCTTTCTTCTTTCTTCTCCTTTTTTTAGATTTTTTATACTAACAAGGGTGCGGATAACAAATGAAAACAACACGATATATGTGAAGACGGTGACTAGCAACTTGATGAACACAACAACACAAAGGTACCAGTATCGCCAAAAGGCTATAGGATTTTTTTTGGCTTTTTCAGTGGACTTTAGGTGATGAACAAAAACAGTAGCAAACGATGGATAAATCAAAAGTAAATATGTGGATGATGGTGAGACCTACTGTAACAACAAAAGCTTTGATACCAGTTGATAACGAACGTCCTTGAGGGTGGCACGATCTTCACGACAGTAGGTCACGAATAAAAGATAACTTGTCTGAACAAATGAATAACTAGCTTTATACCTGATAAAGGTTGGATGCGACCAAGCGACGGAGAGAGAGAGAGGCACCGAAACCGCGAAGACTTCGACTCGATCTCCGAACGACCGCAGAAACACAATCCGGAACTAATCCACACAAAACGGTGCAGCCGTATTGGAAACCGTAGAGC